TCATTAAAATTGGTCCGTAGTCCTCTACAGTTCCACTGGACAATATGTTTTGAAAAACCTATCTTTTAGGTGGATTGATAGGGGATCTACCCTGCACCTTTTTGGAGGGCGACAAGCTGTGTACCCTTGAATGGACGTTTTCAGACACGTCCATGTCCACGAGGGATCCATATTTGTTAAATAATTGAATTTTATCGTCTGACCCTTTTGGGGCTCTGCCACTTGGTTTCTTCGAAGAATCTGGCTTCGGTTTGCTTTTGTTTTTAACGATTTGATGAACGTTTGACGTCGATTGAGACCTTTCAGTTGACTGAGAAAACGTGTCACGGTCATAAGATATACTTTTAGTTGTAGTGATACCTTGTTAAGACCTAGGCCTTGTTGACGGCTGAGAAGAAGTTTCATGATCAGGGGATGTCTCTAATTGTATTTGAGGTGTATCTGGCAGTGATTCTCCTGTTTGAGTAGATGTAGTAGGTGGGGAAAGGGTGGGAAAATCAGTTTTCACCCAAGTCAAGTTTGTCTGACAGCTTGCAGGTACTGTAACTCCTCTAGATGTTGTTTCAGGCGTTCTTCTAACAATGGAAGAATGGCTTTCTCTTTGTTCTGAGCTTAGGACATGTCTTTTTGCAGCTGCAAAGCTGGTGTTTTGGGTGAACTTTTTTCTGCTAATTGCCATTTGCTGTTTCCAAACAGGACATTCCTTAGAATAAGATGGGTGATTCCCTGAGCAGTTGGTGCATTTTTTGACAGTACTGTCACAATCTTCTGTTGTATGTGTCTTTTCACCACTGTGAGCACACACACCAGACAATGTGTCAAGAATTTACACCATGGCCGAACTTTTGGCATTTGAAGCACCTGAGAGGATTCGGAATGTATGTGTCAACATTTAGATTACAATAGTCTGCCTTAACTGATCTTGGAGCAGAAGGTAAAGAAAAGGAAAACAGATAAGACCACCCTGATCTCTCATCTCAGAGACAATATCCAATTCCGACATGTCAGCGAGTAATCGATCACGGTCCCTTACGATTCCCTTACTCGTGTTGAGTGTTTTGTGGGCCGTGATGGTGACCGGAATGCCGACAAACGTTTAAGTATTCAACAGGTTGGTTGATTGTTGCTTTTTGGCACACTCAATCAACAGTGCACATCACCAGCAATGCCTTGGATACCCTTAGACACAGCGAAAGGGTTTAATGTCAACGGTGTGCTATCTTCAGTCTCAATGACTAGAAAATGTGGCCAGTAATCGATAGGTTTGGGCAGCCTGTGGTCAGTATCAGTCGGATCTGCTTCAAGCGGACGTTTGGTTTTTTTTATTGGGGGTTTCATAAGCCATGGTTATTATTTTAGATTTCATCATCCGAACTCCCCACCCACCACGGAGTATCACAAGGACAATGCTAAAAACAAGTGGGTCTCCAACTTGCAGCACCAAGGATACCCGGATGATATACTCCAGCAGATAAACTAAAAGATTAATTATTCCACCAGATTGGCCTATGAGCCACCTCCTTCTGGGCATAAGACTCTAGGCAAAGTTCATAGCATCATATTTCAAAATCTAAACGTGTCAAATGAACAAAGAGGGCCAAGACCAAAATTGAAACAATTCCAAATCAAATTTGTGAAATTACATATATATATAGTCCATGCACAGGGCTTGGCGTGGCCAGCCGATTGATAGAACCGGGCCAGTTCTACCACCCGTCTAGGTGAAGTAAGGGCCAAGGTGGTGTGTTGGGCAAAAAGAACACTGTTCAAGGATGCTATTGCCCTCATCCGCCAAAATCCCGTCCTCCACCGACACAGGGGCGCAACCCACGGCAAACGGGTTGCCCAATTCGGTCCTAGGACCAGCAATGGGGTGCTGTGGACCACTATGCTCTGAAGAGCTCTTAGCGTTACCCAGCACTCACCACGAGGAGGTGGCTCTTCACGGGTGCCTATTAACTCTTGTCCTTTGAAGGTCGATATATAATAAATGTTAATGGCGTTGCATATTTTGTTGCATTTTGATACTGATATTTTGCAGGGCCAGTGTACAACGCGCTGAAATAAATTTCCTTGCCAGTGGGGGATGCAAAACAAACAAAATCCATGATTGCATGTGTGACGTGATGGGTACGGATGCCCCTGACTATTCCACAGTTTGCCATTGGTCTCTACAGTTTAAAAGGAGTGGGGAGTCCATAGACGACGGCCCAAGTTGAGACAGGCCTTCAAATACCACCCAGCGGCAATAGAAAGAAGAATCTGTTCGACGAATAAAATTATCTGAACTTTCTAAGGATTCCAAATATCAGTTGGAACTGTTGAAACCATTAATCATAAGCATCTTGGTATGTCCAAGGTATCTGCAAGATGAGTACCTGGAAACCTTAGAGCTCAAGATCGCCATCAGAGAACTGAAAGTTGTCGAGAGTTCCTGGATCTCTATACTGCTGTTGTAGCCTGATTTCTTTCTCGTCTTGTGACAGGTAATGAAACATGGATCCACCAGAGGGACCCAGAAACTTAATTTGAATCCATGCAAACGAAGCACACCACTTCTCCGCCTCCGAAGAATCTGCTTTCAAGATAATGGCCACCATATTTTGGATTGCCAAGAGGCATATTTCTCATTGATTATATGCCACAAAAACTACAATCAATGGACAGTGTTATGCTAATCTAATGAAAGTGTTATTCTAATCTAATGCGAAAATCTATTCGTCAGAAACGCCATGGGATATTAACACGTTGTGTTCTACTTTGCATGACAAAGCTCTTGTTCATTAGTCGAGAGTAGCACAGGCCGCCATACGTGAATGTGGATTCAAACAGTTAAATCACCCACCCTATACCCCGGATCTAGCCCCCAGTGACTATTTCCTGTTCCGGCAAATGAAATCTGCTCCACGTTACATTCGTCACCACTCGCCCCTTTCCATAACCTCCAAGAAGACTCGTCCCCGTTTCGATGCTTGTTATGTGAAAAAACACGACAAACCAATTAGTATGCGCGTAATGATTGCGGTGCTTTGATAAAAATAATCAGATTTTAAGTAGTAAAATCGTTTATGGCATTTTGGCATTGTTTAAATAATCATGAAAAATATATATTGTCATATTGAAAGTACAAAGAAGGTAGCTTACACAATTATGTTGCATCATGTGAAGGGTTTGATAAGGATAATGCCATGGATGGTGAGAGATTCAGATACACACACGTGCGTTTGTTTACATAACGGCTCACATGGGTTCAACTGAATGTATTTCAGACTATCTTGCGGGCTTGTTTTGGAGAGTTACGTGCGCTTCTAACAATTATCGGAAATAAATATAATTATAAATCGCTATGAGTTTTAAAACAATAATATTACATCTATATATGACTAATTTTAATCTTTAACATTGGGCGTGTGTTTCACACCTCTGGGGATATTTTAGTCTGACTTTTGTGGGGTCATTCATAATTGTTTTAGAGTATTCATTTTAAAATTCCATCAAGGGTATGGCAAGGCTACACACATATTCAGATTGAGAAATATTTCAGATTCGTTATTGTAATAACTTATTTGGGACTTACTGTGACTGAAAAAAGATTACTCTATTTGTTTATTCAATAAGATCCCATGTTATTCGTAAACCCTGTGTCTGCACGTCTACAGCATCGATGTAAGACGACGGGAACATTGACGTCGACGTATCCAGTGGAGCACGCCGTCCGTTGTTCGAATTCTATATCTGTATCAGAACCATGTTGATGTGTTATCCTGGCCCCAAGATCCCCAGATTTGTAACCCATTGAACACCTCTGGGATGAAATGGAGCCTAGTTTACGACTGCGATGGTACCACGCCTGCACCGGTGTACAGGATAGACACACTCGCTACTGACAGTTTGAAGTTCCTAATGAACCCCCTCTTGTGTTGAAGACCATTCGTGCAATAGAAGTGTAACGCTGACTCAGTTTGTTGTTTGTGCATCACAATACCTTGGAATCGCGTCAACATCAATCTAGCCTTCAGTCCCGACTCGCAGTGTTTGTTCGTAGACGGGGACCTTCAATGCCTCTTTATGAACTTACCCTTTATTGTTTGTGGCGAGAGGGTTTTGTATCTCTTCCGTGAAGGCATCGACAAACCATATACGTATAAAAAGTGCAAAATGCTTTAAGAGATGGCAGAGAAACGTTTCAATATATTCTTAATTTTGTCAGAGCACATTAGATGATACCAAGTCATTGAGATCCAGGCAATCAGATAACAAAAGGTCAAAAGACATCTGTTTTATCTATTTTTTTGTTAACATTAAATTTGGTCCTGCAATCTTTGGCTATTTATCTCCATGTACTAACGGTACTAACGTATAGCAATTCTGAACATCTTTGTAAGCATGGAATGTCAGTGTGCGTACATCAGTCCGTTGTGTGAATTTTACGAGACATCTGGAGAATCATGTTTATCCACCTCGTTAGTTAACGCTCATGTATATATTGAACATACGTGTTCACACTGTATCATCACCTTTACTTAAGGAAATATTTTGCCTGTGATCCCAGTTTCAGATTTTGCCTGGAATGGGGCAGCTCCAATTTGAAACTAACTTTTTTTTAATATTCCCAGCCAGGTGTCATGATTATATTATGAAACCTTTGAGACTTGTCTAACGGGTGTTCACCTCACTTCAGAGGTACCACTCATCCGTTATAACCGTTTTCACTTGTCCTACGGGCCTCTAGCCAACAGTTCAGAATTAAGAGAGATTCATTATACTTAAGGCAAGATCTTTTCGGTGATCCAAGCTTCAAATGTTGCCTGGAATTGAGCAGCCCCGATTTCATCCTACCAAATACTTACTTACTGATAATCCTAGCCGGGTGTCATGGTTATGGATTTTATTCGACTGGATTAAGTGGCGGCAGTTCCACCTCACTTTAGAAAACAAGTCCACATCCGAACTGGGCCATGCAAACAGACTATCACAAATTCAAATAGAACAATGGCTGGTGTGTTTCACGCTGCCATTATCAGTTGAGAGGTAAACCACGTGGAGATTGAGGTCGGAGTACAAAGGATAAACATTGTGCATTTCGCACACGACACATTTCGGTGAGTACAGGCAGCAGTTGTTTCCATTGTTACCTATTTAAGACGATTTATGACCTGTTGAAATCGGACGTTTCAGGTTGTCCAGAAGCTCTATTAGTTGACGGAGTGAGTGAGCCATCACATTGCTTACATCACAAAATATTTTCTTGATTGCTAACGCACCACCTAGCAACACATGACCTCATGCTGCTATTTATCGAGACTGGTGCAGACAATCCAGTGATTGATTGCACAATTGATTGACAAGCAATGATTCATTCAATCTGAGTATAACTAATCAACGAGCATGATCACCGGGTCCATAACCATCAACATGAGTCATAATGTAATCTTACTTTAGCATATGTCAAGGGCTTACCTTCAGTTATCAGTTGGGTCAAATTCATAGGCGAGGCTGCATAGATGGAGGAATGAGTGAGTGAGTTAGGTTTTACTCCGCTTTTAGCATTATTCCAGCAATATCACGGCGGGAGTTGGCAGAATGAACAACCCATCCAGTTATTTAACGGTCGTTAAATTGTTAATGTACCCTTTATCAATTCAACGGTCTAGGCCGTAGGGAATTAAGGGGGTTGGGGTGTGTGGGGTTTTTTGTGTTGTTTTTTTTTTTGGGGGGGGGAGTCAGACTCGTTGGCTTTGGAGATGGTGTTATCGTATACCAGTTGCGCTGTTAATGGATGTGATATCAATCACTGAATGCTCTGGTTCACACTCGATTATCTAACGGCAGTACTGTTGCTGGGCTATTTCTGACTGCAGCGTTAATATAAAAACTTGAGGTCATTCTACGTTTATGGTGAATAAAATGCAACTACCTTTTCTCCAGTCTCGCTCTATTTGTATATTGCTTGTACCTCCTCCGTCAGATTATGTCTGAGAAGATTGAGGTCGTTGTTAAGAACATTCAGCATGGGGAGGGACCCCACTGGGACGACACCACACAGTGCCTGTACTACGTGGACTATTTCGTTAATGACGTCCACAGATACAACGCCGTCACAGGTGACGACAGCCGACTGAACCTTGGAGGTGAGTTCATTTGTAAATTCTGTCAGTTCGTGTGCAAGTTTCGTTACGCCTTGCAATATTCCAGCTCTGACACTATGTTCTGTAAATATTCACGTTATGACCACTTACTCCTGTGAGTCACATCACAGAAAACTTCTTACGATGACACACATATCAAGACAGCGGTGCTTATCACCCTATCCAGTTAAGGTTGTTAAAAACCAATTCAAACACGGATAGTTCAAGGTCACTTGATATGTAGATACTAGGTGGCACAGTGATTGATTCTAAGCTCACCTGGAACAGTAATACTGATTACATATACAAGAAAAGACTAAAGTGGATATACCTTCTCACGTCGTCTTCGTTATTTTAAGATTGACACAACCATATTGTCGTTATTTTATAAGTCTTTTATTCAAAGTATTTTAGTTTTCAATGTACATTGCTGGTATGGCGGTCTGTCTGTTCAAAATCGATGTAAACTTTCCAAAATTGCTAACACAGCAAGTAAAATGTCTGGACTTAGCATTCAAGATATTGGCACTATTTTCAAGCAGCAAATTGAAAAAGCACGTAAAATTTTAAATGACAGCACTCATGTCCTATTTCCTTAATTTTAACTTCTTCCTTCTGGCCGACGACTGCGCACGCCGATATTCAGAACAAACAGGGCTCGAAATTCCTTCATGCCAGTAAGCATCCGTGTTTTAAATGAATTATTTTAATGTTTGTTACTCATTTTATAATACTTTATCAATTGTTTCAAACTGTTATATTGATATACTTTTAGTGGTAATGTTTCTCAGCAAAGTTTTAAATGATGCCACTACATAACTTTAAATCTTAAATATATCATTTATTCATAATTTATCTTTACCTCATATATTAGACGTTGTTGCCAGCTATTTTAGTAATATTTGACATATGTATGGGTGTTTTGGCGTCTTATGTATATGTATCTTTTGTTGTATTGTATGTGTTTTCAATGTTAACTGCGTAAAGCAAATTCCTTCTGGACAATAAAACATCATCTTATCTTTTATTACTCACCCGTTGAAGATATCACTGTTTTATAATTTTACAATGATATCTTATGATCTTATTTCACAGTAACATTTTCAACGGTTCGAATACGTACACGCTGATGAGTCAAAATGTCAGATAGCAGTGATAGAGGAGTACACTAGCCTTGTAGTTAAAACCTTTTCTCGCCACGCCCATGTGCCGTGTTCTGCTCCTAACATGGGTATGTTCGCGGCATTAAACCATGTTACACACTTGTGGCATATCGTACATTTGTACTTTACTAAGAAAGTTTAATCCCGAATAATTCTTAACTTACTTTTGCTCGCTGGTTAAGTCAGATGTAAGTTATCACGCACTTGACTTGACCAAAATATACAAACATAGACGTATGTGGGGTTTATGATAATTATTTTACGAACATGAATCATTTTTCCAATTATCTAACTGAAACTTCATTGTAATGCTGCTCTTACATTTGTTGCAATAAATTAAGAAGGAGTTAACATATTCGTAAAGGCAAACTGAAATCACGTTTGTTCACTGCCATTGTATCCTATACCTATGTGTCTGTTCTGTGTTAGGAGTTGAAATTCTGTAAGTTCTTTTTTATATATATCTCGATGACCAAATGACGAAAAACATCACATTTTACATAATTTTGCATGTCTTGTGTTACGAAATCCAAACGTAACTATGAATAAGTCCTCCACAGCCAAACATTCTCGGGTGCCATGCACAAGGTTCCCTTTAGTTTTTCATTGTTACTTCCCCTCAGTATATGAACTGTTTGAACTGTCATATCATCATGTTTCATTAATGAAGACTCATCAGTGAGTATCATCATCCCGCGCCAGAAGGGTGGCTTCGTGGTGAGCCAGAAGACAGACCTCGCCTTCTTGGACTCCTGGGACAGTGGCAAGGTTACCAGCATTGCCAAGGTCGAGGCCGACGCTAATATGATCAATGACGGGAAGGTGGATGCTTCCGGAAGACTTTGGTTCGGTAGGTTCCTGTTCTTGGGTCTCCTGTTGAGTGAGTGTGCTTCCTCGGTGCAAAGATCTGTCAGATCCCGTGAGTGAGTGAGTGAGGTCTCACTAGCAAACTCCCCTTCAATACTGCGACGAGAATAAGTTACACATCACCATCTACAACATGCACTGCGCAGATAAATTCATAAGATGAATGGGAACTGCTACAAGAAATTGATGTCATTAATACATTTTTTCATGATGAATTCGAAACGCTGCACTTTCGTGCATTGCGATCCCTGAGCGAAAATGAAATCTGTCAGCGTAGGTTCGAATCCCGGTTCGGTTGATGGTGTTTCTAGATTTGCTTGGGTTGCTTGGGTTTAAAAAACTGGTAAATTTCCAGACATGCTTCACACCCCGTAATATAACTGGAATGCTGGAGCTGAACAAAACCCACCCATTCAGATTGTAGTACAAATCAATTTCCTGATCTCTTGTGGATGTGGAAAGGGATTTGTCACTTCTATTCTACTGACACATGTATGTTTAAATTTCAAGTGTCTGCTGATTCAGGTACACAGATCTCTCAGCCATACTGCGTTATGAAATATGTCGACATTATTTGTAAGAGCCTCTCCACCGATAACTAATATGATAGCTTCCACACAGGGTCTTGTGTCTGTGGTAAGGATATCCATGAGCCTGAAGATTGGCCAAAGCATCAGGGCTCATTGTACAGCCTGGATGCTGATGGGAGCGTCAAAAAACACATCAGTAACATCAGCATCAGCAACGGCATGGACTGGACTGACGACAACAGCGTCATGTACTACATCGACTCCATTCCAAGACAGGTCTGGGCCTTCGACTTTGACATCACAGCTGGGACTATAAGTAAGTAGACTCGCGTACTCCAAGCTGTCTTGAATTATGTTCCATGCCTCCATTGATGCAATGTGTTTAATTCTACCTTTGGATGTAACAGATACTGAAGTCACTTATCAAAACCACTCGTCCAACTGTACACCAACACATTGGGCGTAATTCACATCGATTCTGGACTCCACGTGATTCTGGACTCCACGTGATTCTGGACTCCATGTGATTCTCCACATGACTAAAATGTTACATGCAGTTAAAATTGGCATGTTGAAAATTTAAAAAATACTGTAATCAGAAAATATTCACAACAGTGAGTTAGGTGTTTTAGTCCCATCGGCAGTATTTCAGGCATATATATACTTCCCATTAAATGTTTAGACTCACTTAATATACTCACTATATGTTATGTATATATATATGGTTACATAAAAGATTGATTTCTCCACTAACCTGGGGGAACCAACTGCAAACCTTATGCAGATGAATTGCGCGAGGATTATACATCAACTTGCTAGAAAGCATGTGCAAATATCATGCATGTGAAACAGCTACGTTTTGGTGTAACATTTTGTTAAGAATTCACCAATTTTCGCTGATTTTTATCATTTATTGAACTCATGACAATAATCTTTTCAACTTTACGAATTTGTTTACAATACATCAGTTCATGTGTAAACAGTACCTTGAAACAGTATGGAATATTTTGCAAAATTAAGTTGGGAACAGTTGCCTGAAGTAAGTGACTGTATTTACACTAGTGAGTCTAGACTTTTGATGGGAAGTATAGTTCCGAAAACAAGTTATACATTCATGACACACAACCAGATTATACAATATACATTAGGCTATAGATCGCCAGCAACTGAAGGTAGATCACCATACTAAGGAGCATGGGGACGGTATTTTCACTTCCTGCCTGGACCCAAGTTGGACATACACAATCGATATAGCTATTGGAGATTGTACCATGTGTCTATTTACAGAACATATTTATTAATTTTATAATTAAATAAGAACTAATATTTTCAAAACGTTATTTCATTGCTTTCACGATGAAATAATTAGATCTTGTGATTGAAAATTCAACATGCTTGACATTGATTCTTTCATCACAGGGTATACAAAATGGAAGATCCTCACCTTTCAAATAAGGATTCGTGTGTATATCGTGAGCGGCCAATAGTGCTGGTATTGGCATACAACCTCAGATACGATGCATCACGATACAAAAATCTTAGTCACGACGATATATTGGCATAGTATTGTGCACGATACGAATCCCGATATAAGGGTGGCGATACGATACGTATCACGATACTAAAACCTATAATTAGATGTTTAAATGAAAGAGACTTCAATTTGAAAAACATTCACATTAGCCACTTTTTAAGAACAAGTACAAACTAAATAAAACATAAAACTGTTATAAACAGAAAACATACATCAAAACATCTTTGTTATCTGCATGTTGCTGGATGCTGTCAATGCAGTCACATAATAGAATGAAATTTATCGTGGCCCATTTGAAGTATCGTATCGGAATATACAGCAATGTGAAAACTCGTATCGATTCACTGTATCGGCGGCCCATGGATCGATGCATCGAATCGATGAATCGTCACACAACTAGTGACCGGCCAATAAAGGCCTCTTCAAACCTGGACTGACAACCCAAGTGTAACAGATAGTTGGTTTAATTTCATGTAGCTTATTGATACCTACCTGGGTGGCGTACTGTTTTGCATTAGGTCTGTAATGGAACACCTAATAATTGGTTTATAGTCAGTGCAGGGGGTGAGACATGGTGTCACAGATTTCTGAAGTGTTGCGTTGGCAGCAACATTAGCCACTGTGTTACCAGTTTTGACATGCCCAGTCGATTTTAGGTTTATTCAAGCCATGATTAAATTGAATTATTTGCAAGGGCAAGTGCAGACATTACAATTTCTACTGGAACGGGAATAATTCAGGTCACTTCCATGTGTCCTTTGTCATTAATCTTTTAAGCCTTTTGCAAAACAAATGGGAAGGTTACCACCTCAGCACAGGTCCCCAAAACATCTTGCTCACCTCATTTACACGATGCTTATTGTCAAGGAAAATTCATTTTGAAGAGCTGTTCACCAATGGTACTGGTATACTTATCATGAACGTAGACGTTCTTCATGATAGAATTTCATTGTGCTCTTTTGCACATATTTATTTGTCTGATGATCCTTTTGTGATGCAATCCACACTTATGGTGACAACATGATATTTCACAGTAAACTCGAAAATAACCCAAGGATATTGGAAACAATCTCAGTGTCGGTGTCAGTACAAATATGCGAGCAACAGAAGGAAACCGCTGAACCGAGTGTTTTTTATGTAAGGTGAAACAGAGGGCTGTTTGTTTGCTTCTATAGACCAGAGGCTTCCCACTCCTAGCCATTCATGCGCGATTTTTAATCAAAACGTACATATGAATTGTAGATTGTGTAATGAATTTAACAAGGCTCTCCAACACTTTGCCAGTGGACACAATATCTTAAGCGGCAGGACGGCATGTTCAGTCCTTGTATTCGCAATATCTTTGCCACGCTTGTGCTTTTGAATCAAAGGTCAATCCATGGTTTCACCCAGAATACATGAGGCCGTCATGCAATTTCTTAGGAATAGGCACCGATATAACCGCCTATGGCGCATCCAGGCCAACCACCGTGGCCTTCTTGTCTTTTAGAAGTCGTTTATATAATTGAATTCTTAGACTCGTGTGTGAGTAATGTGGTTGTCAACATCAAGGCAAATATGTGGACCTCACTTACGAAGTGTAACAGTTACATACCAAGGGCCAAGGCGTCCCACTCGCCATTATGTATGTTTCGTTTTTTGACTGAACAAATAGTAGGATCGTGTGTGAAAGTGTATAAGAATGATATCCATATTTGCCTTTCTGTTACGAAAATATCGGTATCAGTTTTATCAGATATCTTAAGTTGTCTACCGAGTTAATCTTCCCACTTCCAAAGTATATAATAACACTTTAATGCTTTGCTTGCTGTTTAACGCCGCCCTCAGCAACATTCCAACTATATAGTGGACACTTCGATAACACCCTGTTACATGTAGTTTATATTTGAATCCATTCTGGATTCTGCAATACTCTACTGGCAAATTATGTTTGTATTGAACTTTGTACATTGAACTCATTACAACTGCATAACAGGATAAGACGAGTAGAATCGAAAAATATCCGGGGTTCCAGTAAACCTCCACTTTAACTGAATCATGATGTTTCATTACGTAAAGGCTCAGAGGTTCAAGACAACCCCCTTGTTTGTCAAGTCACCGGTTTGTATTGGATTTGTTTCAGGCAATCAGAGAACTGTAGCAGACTTCAGCTCCACTGAAATCCAAGATATGGGGTACGCTGATGGGATGGCCATTGATACAGAGGGAAAATTATGGATGACATGTTTTAATGCTGGAAAAGTTGTCCGAATTGATCCCGAGACTGGTAAGTGGGCATGACGAATGGTACACCTGCTGAAAGAAGAGCAAGTCAGTCTTCCATTATTGGTGTAAGACAATTCGATCTGTTGGCTTATTTATATGAGATCAGTCTCGTTGACAACACTTTGTGTGAGGGATGGCGTATAGTTTTAATGTCTAGGTCCCCAAAAGTATCTTACAGTTATCTTGCAGATACTAAGTAATACGTTCCACAGAGCTCACTATGACACGTGGACTTCATCCATCATCAGAGAAAAGTCCTAGTTCAAGTTTCGTTCATTATTATAGAGTTGTATGACATGAATGTCCGTCGCCATACCATATTTACTTGAACTGGGCCCATGATGATCCTGAAAAAAACTGATTGCAAAAATCATACTGCTGTCATGTAGCTGAAATTTCGCTGAGTGAAAGTTTAACAACATATAAAATGTACACAGAATGTATTGCGAATTATTTGTTTGGTTATAATGAACTGATTTTGTTTCTGTCCAGGAACCGTGATGAGAACTGTCAAGTTCCCATGCGAAAAGATCACGTCGTGTTGCTTCGGCGGAGCGGACTTCACCGACCTCTACGTCACATCATCGCAGTACCTGATGACCCCAGCACAGGTGGAGAAAACACCACTGGCTGGGTCAATCTTCAAGGTCACGGGGCTTGGGGTCCGAGGACGCAAGGCTAACACATTTTCTGGATAAGCGGTTCTCCGTTCAGTGCACTTTAAAGAACAAAGATTGTCGAACACTTGTAAAACTGATTTCGATGTAGTGATGTTTTTGTTCAGCCTTCAGAAGGACTACAGTTAGAACAATATACACGATACAACACGTATATGTGCAAGTCTTGTTTTATATATATTTATTAACTTGGTTTATGTATGTCGAGTTTAATACCCTTATTATGAAGAGACGATAGTCGACTCCGTGAAGATGAAAAATCTAAGGCGGCCATCTTGTCTTGAATGCCCAAAGTTTTTAACCAGTAAGCACACACAGTGTTGATTTGATTTAAACATATTTATTCAAGAGAATGGATTGGGTACAAGTTATGCCAACTTAGTGAAACCCTCTCCTATTTACAGTGCCTACATTCAAAAGTGAAACAAACTGTATATGTACAGGGATAGAAAGATATATACAAAATGATATATACAATACAATGAATACATGAATTATTTAGATCATACACATTATATCCAATCACTGAACCTTTTGGAATTTGATATATATTTTTTAACTTCTTTGAAAATGTGAATATTGTCACTATACGGAAGATCTGCACTGCCATTTAATAGTACGTCTAGGTTTGTTGGTGCTTTAATGTTTCAAATTCTGCTAATATTTTGAAAAATTTCCTGTCTGATAACAGAATACAAAGAACATTCCATAAAATAATGTTGAGAATTTTCACAGGTAAATTTACAATTACATTCGGGGTTCTCTATGAGACCGATCCTATATAGATCACCATTTAATCTACTATTTGAATATCTTAGCTGGGTATGAATTACATTGAGTTTTCTATTACCAAATGAGAAATATCCTGGTGCTTTTGACTTACGCGAGCTTATATGCGATTTAAAACGTTCAAGGGAAACTGATTCTCTAACATATAAAAGGAGATTATTCCAAAGTTGTGCAGATGATGGGAAAAATGATTGACTGTAGAGATTTGTGCGGGAATAGTACAGGGATAGATCACGAATGTTTCTAAGATTATAATTTGTCCTAGATTCAACAGTTTGAGGCATAAGATCACAAAGGTAGGATGGAGCATTTTTGTTGTAGATATTATAGAATAAAGACAGTTTACGACATCTTCTTCTTTCTTTTAACATTTGCCAACCTGTTTCATATATCAGAGTATCTCTAGTAGCATATTTTGGTAAACCAGTAACTATCCTGGCGGCCTCAAACTGAACTTTTTCAATTTTATCGGTTAAATCTACTGAACAACCATCCCACAATTCACAAGCATATTCAAGATGTGGTCTTATGAATACAATATAAATCTTATTAAGAGTGTCTCTGTTTAACATAAACTTTAATTTTCTCATTGATGAAACCATCAAGGGACGTTGTTTTTACAATGTTATCAATATGTGTGTTCCATTTACAATCAGAAGAAAATGTTACTCCAAGATGTTTATGAGATTTTTCCAAACGTACACACTGTGACACAGTGTTGTCATTCCTACTTTTTACATTTTCCGCGAGGACCATTGTTGCAGGCATTCTTAAAGTTTCTGCTTATACAGCTGTAATTCACTTGATTTCATTCATTGTTCGAAGATCAACCAATGCAGTTCTTGAAGCATACTAGAAGTGGCCAATACGTTCAATGTTTCACAATGTGTGATTGACAGATTATTGAACAGGTACCTTCAATATCAAATGTCCCAGGTCAACGTTTTGGGGGCGTGGTGGGCGAGCTGTCTAAGGCGCCAGGCTAATGATCCAGCGAGCTTGAGGTGCCGGGATCGAATCCACCCGCGACCGGGTGTAAAAACCTTGGAGTCAACGTTGTGTGCAGACTCTTTCAGTGTTGTCACAACCCCTAGTGTACAGTACAGAACGCTGTGCACTTGAAAGAACCCACGAATCCGTTGGTATATGTCCAGATGGTGGTCACATGAATAGATGCAAACACCCAGTTGCGGGTACAGCAACGTGCAGTAAACGTGGACAAGTACTGTGACTATGTGTTCCAGTCCGCCAAGCTGTGAATGGGTACCCCGTAAGGATGGGAAAGTCACATTAACTTGGTGCACTTAGTAGCTGCAATAATTGACTCAACTGTTGAGTTTGATAATACGATGTGCCGTTAAAATTGACATCCAATGATCGAGGGAAAAACAAAGTGACTGAGAGCAGCCTAGCTGGAACTCGGCGCTATATAAATAGATTACTATCACAACATAAAATTTATAAGATGGTTGATCTGAAACCAGACCACAAAATCGAGCTCAAACGGAGAATGACATTGTTTTCTTCAGACTATGGGGAAGGCGATTACAAATGGTCAATATTCAGTAAATATCCATATCAGGACCACGTGTGGTGTCGTCCCTGACCAATCATTACGTTACCAACAGGCGTTAATGGTGCACACGAAGTTAAATCTTGGGTAATGGTCGTTCGTCAAGTGCTCTGTATTCAGATCAGTACCAATCCACTTTCACGTCTTTAGTGGTCATGTTCAGTGACGTCAAGCCTACGTCGACCTGTGACCTCGTGATATCTTGTCGTGCATCAGTTCTAGTGTGGTGTGACATCACTGTGAGTAACCGAACCCCACCCCATATTGGGCAATAGACGCGAGACAGTTTTATCAGGCCAACATGTTGACACCTCAGATGTAACGTTTACAAGGCGTGTCAGTCGACGTTTTGTCTTTCAGGATGACTGCGCCAGGGTTTTAAGTGTTTGTTACTGCAAGGGCGCAGTCAATCCGTGAAGTCTATAAACCTAAATGATCACGTTTTGCCCTTAACCCCTTCTACTCATTCATCCTGGTGTGGGCATGTTCAAACAAATCACGTAACATAGATGTTTGTTACTTCCTGCAAGGGAGAACGTTTTTGTGGAAATTAAGGATTACGGGCGGATGGATCGTTTTATAGTTCCACACTTTTGAAAACAAATGCACATTGGAGGAGAAATATGCAAACAGACTATCAAAATGTTCAAAAGAGAACAGTGGATGGTATATCGAGAGGTGGACGCGAAGGTTAACCTGTGGGTCTCACAAATGAGAATATACTGGATATGATCTGATATGATTTTTCTGTCCAAACGTAAACAGGGAAGAAACCCAAATATGTGACAACGGTCACTTTGTATAAGCAGGTTTACTGGGGCGATTTTCTGCAGGTGAGCCATGGAATGTCTCGTAAAGACAATCTGGTACAGCTGTGATAGTGTCTGGTACAGCTGTGATAGTGTCTGGTACAGCTGTGATAGTGTCTGGTACAGCTGTGATAGTGTCTGGTACAGCTGTGATAGTGTCTGGTACAGCTGTGATAGTGTCTGGTACAGCTGTGATAGTGTCTGGTACAGCTGTGATAGTGTCTGGTACAGCTGTGATAGTGTCTGGTACAGCTGTGATAGTGTCTGGTACAGCTGTTATACTGCACAAACAAATGTATTATCATGACATAGTCACAACTATACAATCGACTCTGCTTTAAGCAGAGATTTCTTGTGGATATAGAAAGGGTTTTGTCGCTGCTGCTACTACTACTACTTCTACTGCTACTTCTACTACTACTACTACTACTACTACTACTACTACTACTACTACTACTACTATTTAAATATTTACTGAAGCACTCAAAATTTGCTGTTAAAAATATTTTAACCTGATTTATACAATGATGATGATAGTGAGTTGTGGACAACGTATTCCAAAAATGAAAGTAATTATAACCAAATGTGTATTTCTGAATTGCAAATGGAAATTCTTTCCTGAAATGGCAGTTGAAAAGATATCAGCTATAATAAGTCCCAAAATAGAGACGCAAACAAATTACTTTAAAAATATTTCCAAGTAAAGAATTCCTGGAGATGATTCCGTGTACGCGGTATCTACCATTTACCTGGAACCTTGCTGCCGTACACCAGGTGGGATTTATAATATATACGATGAAAAGGATACGACGGATACAGAAACGCCAGACTAAAATATATCCAGTGACGTGCAATTTAGGCACAGTGTTTAAGATTAAAGTTGAATGCCGGTAGGTATAGCGTGGAACATATGCACCTCGTCATAAAATATCGCACCACCCACATTTTTTCATTAAGTAAAACTGGATCTACAACCTAAAAAAACGGTGCTTAGAAAAGCACATGAAACTGTTTAGATGGCCTCATGTGAACGTTCAGTCAGAAAGTTGACAACACACGACCGAATTTGACCACTTATTGAAGGTTCAATTGCAGTTCACTAAAATCACCGTAAAGTTAAGTGAAATAAGTATGGCTGCCGGGGTCGTTACAACAGACACACAACATAGTTCACATTTCATTAATGTTGAATACACTAGTAAGGTCCATAATGGCTGGCTAACTCAGTATCTGGTGTAGCCGCCTCGCTCTTGGATAACATTACACGCCGTCTCATGCTGGTCACCAGACCTCTGATTCTGTGTGTTAGGGCATCTGCTGCCACTCATCATGCAATACATGGGTCAATTCCTGAAGGTTCTGAACTGGAGGATCCCTTGCGCGCAACCTACGTCCCAAAATGTCCCACAAATACTCAATTGGATTCATGTCATGGACTTCTGGTTGGCCATGGTAGTGTCTCAATGGTTATCGAAATGAGGCACTACAGCACCGTCCAGGATCAAGTTCTGCTACCTCTGCCCATTCAATGCCCTGGGTACTGTGTGTTCATAGGAACAAGAAACCCACACCATGACGGATCCACCCCCAAATGGAACATCAGCGTGAATGTACCTCTGATCATATGCTGTGCCTCTGTGCCTCCAAACTCGTGCCCTCCCGTCTGTATGATGCAACAAAAATCGGCTTTCATCGGACCAGTGGATCCTTCTCCATGTCCTCAGGTTCCAGCGAGCACGTGCTTGACACCAGTCTAAACGGGCATGATTTGTGAGGAATGGACGTCTGATTGGTCGTCTTGCTCTCAATCCTGCAGAATGTAGGCTCGTCTGATGGTGCTGATGGACACTCTGTTGTATGGATGCCATCCATGTCGCAGCTGTGTTCAAGTAGACATTGGTCTTCGTCTGGCATGGCGTACGAGAGCACGATGTTCCCTGTCATTGGTATTTCTGGGACGTCCAGACCTCGGTGCATCCTTCA